GATTTAAAGCAACAAATGTAAGGAAAGACAAAGATAAACACTATATACTAGTTAAGGGAACAATACAAAAAGAAGACATTTCAATTAAAATATATAGGGACTCAACACAACATAAATGCTCCCAAATTTATAAAACGAATCCTATCTAATCTGAACAATATGACATCCTGCAACACCATAATAGGTAGGGAATTCAACACCCACTGACAGAACTAGACAGATCCTCTCACCAGAAACTAAACAAAGAAAGGGAGTTAAACCCAAGCCTAGAACAATTAGGCTTAATAGACATAAACAGACACACCACCCCAAAACTAGAGAGGATATGTTCTTCTCATCAGGTCATGGATCATACTCCAAAATTGATAATATCCTAGGACAAAAATAAAATCTAAAAATAATTAAAAGAATTGAAATTATATTTGTATCTTTTCAGAAAATGAGGGAATAAAGGTAGAACCCAAAACCAATAGAAATCTTTAGCCCCACAAAAGTCATGGAAACTAAACAACCTTATTGTGAATGACAGGGGTATCAAAGAGGAGATAAAGAAATCAATCATTAGGTTACTCAAATGACAATAAGCCACTAGCTATCAAAACCTGTGGGGTACTGCAAAAGTACTCCTACAAGGGAAATTTATCACATTAGATTCACACATCCATAAAACAGAAAGAATGCACATCAACAACCTAATAAATCATCTTAAGGAACTGGAAAAAGAAGAGCAATTCAATCCCAAACCTAGAAAAAGGAATAAAATACTCAAAATTAGATCAGAAATAAAATGAAACTGAAAACAAAAGAATCATTAAGAAAATTAATAAAACAAAAATTGGTTCTTTAAAATCAATAAATCTTTGGAAACATTAACTAGAAACAGAAAAGTAAGATCTCTAATAACCTCAATCAAAATCGAAAAAGGAGAAATAACAATAGATACCACAGAGATATATAAAAGATCATCTCTGATTATCACAAAAAACTCTATGCCCAGAAATTTGACAATGAGAAGGAAATGGACCTATACCTAGAATCATATAACCTCCTCAGACTTTACCAGGAAGAAATAGCTCTCTTGAACAGAGCAATATCAAGCACCAAAATTCCAACAACAATAAAAAAGCTCCCAGTAACAACAACAAAAAAAAAAAATACCCTGAACCAGATGGCTTTAACCAGAATTCTATCAAATCCCCAAAGAAGAGCTTGTACCTATTGCAAGAACCTATTGCAAAACATTGAGCAGGAAGGAACCCTCCCCAACACATTCTATGAAGCAAATATCATCCCGATACCAGAACCAGAAAAAGACCCAAAGAAAAAAGAAAACTACAGGCCAATTTCACTAATGAATATCCATGCAAAAACACTTAATAAAATCCAAGCAAATAGAATACAACTACATATTTAAAAAATTATACATCACAATTAAGTAGGCTTTCTACCAGGAATGCAAGGTTGATTTAATATATGCAAATTCATAAATGTAATTCACCATATCAATATAAGTGAAAACAAAGACCATATGATCCTCTCAATACATGCAGAAAAAATATTCAACAAAATTAAGCATCCTTTTCTCACAAGAACACAAGAAAATAGGCATAGATGGGATATTTCTTAAAGTAATAGAAGTCATCTATGACAAACTTATAGCCAGTATCATACTGAATGGAGGAAAACTGAAACCATTTCCTCTTAGAAGTGGAACCAGATAAGGTTATCCACTATTTCCACTACTATTCAACACAGTGCTGGAAGCACGAGACAATGCAATCACACATGAGGACAGAGGAGGTCACACTCTCTTTGCAGACAATAAGTATGATCTTATACTTAGAAAAACCCAGAGACTCAACCACAAGAATCCAAAAAGTAATCAGAAATACACTAATGTCTTGGGATATAAATTCAATGTCCAAAAATCAGTAGCCTTCCTATATGCCAATAACAATCAAGCCAAGAAGCAAATCAAGGGCAGAATACCCTTCACAGTAGCTTCAAAAAAATGAAATTAAACCTGAGAATATATCTAACAAAGGAGGTAAAGAATCTCTACAGATAGAACTATGAAACCCTGAGAAAAGAAATAGCAGAAGACATTAACAAGTGAAGAACATACATGCTCTTGGCTAGGAAGAATCAACATTGTTAAAATGTCTATACTGACCAAAGCAATCCACAGATTTAATGCAATCCCCACTAAAATACCAACATCATATTTTGAAGAACTCAAATAATAGTTTTTATTTTCTATGGACCCAGATAAAAACCCATATTGCCAATCCAATTCTTAGTAATAAAAACAAATCTGTAGGCATCACTTTACCAGACTGCATGTTTTTTTTTTTTTGTTTGTTTGTTTTTTTGAGACAGAGCCTCAAGCTATCCCCTTGGGTAGAGTGCCATGGCATCACGCTCACAGCAACCTCCAACTCCTAGGCTCAAGCGAGTCTCCTGCCTCAGCCTCCCAAGTAGCTGGGACTACAGGCGCCCGCCACAACGCCAGGCCATTTTTTGGTTGCAGCCATCATTGTTGTTTGGCGGGCCCAGGCTGGGGATTCGAACCCACCACCTTAGGTGTATGTGGCTGGCGCCTTAGCTGCTTGAGCCACAGGCGTCAAGCCCCAGACTGCATGTTATACTACAAGTCCACAGTATTCAAAACAACATGGTACTGGCACAAAAACAGAAACATAGATCACTGGAACAGAACAGAAAACCTAGAGATGAACCCAGCCTCATATCATCATCTGATCTTGGATAAGTCAAACAATCAAACACTGGGAAAAAGAATTCCTATTCAATAAATGATGCTAGGAGAACTGGATAACAATATGTAAAAGACTGAAACTGGACCTGCACCTCTCACCACTTAAAAATTAACTCACAATGGATAAAAGATTTAAATCTAAGACATGAAACGATAAAAATACTAGAAGAAAATATGGGAAAAACCCTTGATGATATTCTTATTGATGATAACTTTCTCCAAAGGCAATACACAAATGGCCCACAAACACATGAAAAAAGTGCTCATCATCCCTAATCATCAGAGAAATGCAAATCAAAACTACCTTGAGAAATCACCTAAACCCAATGAGAATAGCCCACATCATGAAGTCCCAAAGCTCCAGATGCTGGCAAGGTTGTGGAAAGAAGGGAACACATTTATACTCTTGGCGGGATTGTAAACTATTACAGCCTCTTTGGAAAGAAGTATGGCAAATCCTCAAAAAGCTAAAAGGAGATCTTCCATTTGATCCCATAATTCCATTAGTGGGTATCTACCCAGAAGAAAAATAGTTTTACCATAAGGAAATCTACACTAGAATGTTTATCACTGCTCAATTCATAATTGCCAAGATATGGAATCAACCCAGTGCTCATCAGTCTATGAATAGATTAATAAATTGTGGTGAATGTATACCATGGAATACTATTCAGGCATAAAAAATATAGAGATTTTATATCCTCTGCATTAATCTGGATGGAGTGGAAGAACATTCTCCTTAGTAAAGTATCACAAGAATAGAAAAGCAAGCATCCAGTGTACTCAATACTAATATGAAACTAGTAGATGAACAACTACACACCCATACAAGAGAAAAACACAGTTAAATTCAAGTAAGGGGAAGAGGAGGTCAGGGGAGAGGAGAGGAGGGAATGGGATTCATGTGGTTTCACCTAACAGGCACAACGTAAGGATATATGGCATACCTCCTAGGTGAAGGGCTCAACTACAACTTGGAGTTTATCTAAGAAATGCAAACAATGTAACCTAATCATTTGTACCCTCATATTAACCTAAAATTTAAAAAAAAATTTTTTTGTCAAGCCAAAGCATTAGTCACCAACATTTTTTTAGTTTCTTGGGATTGTTTTCTAGACACCTTTCTCTCCAGAGGACATGTTCTCATTAGAGAACATAAGTAAGATACTATAAGAAGTTCTGTTTGATGAGATATGTAAGAAGTATTATTTCCCTAACAGACTTAAAGTTCTAAAATTATAGAGAATAAAAAATACTTACATATCAACTTCTGTGAATTAACAGATAACAATAATTCTCCAGTTTTGATTCATACACATAATCTATGTAAGTAAATATAGCATATATAAAAGTATATATGGGCAGAGAAAAATAAGCAGTACATACATATTTTTTAATTACAGATGAAATTTGTCCCCTTTGTTAGTCCTATTCCTTTGCTACTCCCCTGAGGAAACAAGTATCAGAAATCAGTGGGAGGTGCCTGTAGTCCCAGCTTCTCAGAAAGCTGACAGAGAAGGATCACCTGAGCCCAGGATTTGGAAGCTCCTGCAGTGAGCTATGATGACACCAAAGCACTCAGCAAAAGACCTTGTCTGCACTAAAGGGGAAAGAGAAGGAGAAGGAAAAGGAGAAAAGACTAACTTTGCCTAAGAAGAGGAAACTCTGCCAGCAAACTGCCTTTGGACTCAAGCTCTAACATTAACTCTTCCCTGGGACTCTATCATACAGACCCATGCTGCAGATTTTGGACTTAGTAGCTTCTACAATCGCATGAGCCAATTTCTTAAAATAAATACTTCTGTTTCCAAATAAACAGACAGACAGATATACATACACACACATCCCACTGGTTCTGTTTTTCTAGAAAACCCTGTCTAATACACTCCTGCACCAGAACCAGTACTATTTCTTTCTACAATACTAAATAAATGAAAACATGTTTCTCAAACTAATCATCACTACAAGACTTATATGCTTTTCCCTAGAAGACTAGGTTTTCTAAAAATCAAATATTAAGTATTATTTATTAAACATATCATGACAAAATATATCAGCATACCACTAATATATATAAATAAATCAAAGATGAATCAATGGATATACAAAATGTAATAAGATGTTATAGATCTTATTATTTGAAAAGTCATGCTAAATATGGTCTTAAAAAGTATGCTAAGCAACAAAATTTTAGATAATGAAAACATTCAATGAAAAATCTTACCTTTTAGTTTTCATCTGGTCCCTCAGTTTGCTGTACATCTCTAGGACTTAAAAGAGAGAAAAGACCACACAAGCATTATTTAGAGATAGTCAAAGATAATTAAAGTTAAAAAAATGAACACAAGAATCCTACTCCATTTTTAGTTCCTCACCTGGAAGACACAGCATTAATTTATCAACAGTGGCTGAAATATTTCTCTGTTGTAGACGACACTGCTTCAGCTCTTCCATTGCTATTACCAGCTTGGCAAGAAGGAAAAAGACTGAATTATGCCAATAGCTGTAAATAAAAAGCTTTCAGTCACATTTTTCCACACTGTGTTCAATTCATCAGAAAAATCCCAGACAGTTTCATAGTAAGACCTGCCAAGTAAACTAAGGAACTGCCTTTCCCAATCAGTAAAACATTCCTGCATGGTTTCCTACTTTCTTCCCAACATATACTATTCTAGGAAAGGCTAGATTAAATGAAATCCTAAAATATAAGTTTTGCATATTTTCTCCAAACCCTCATGATTCAAAGTTGTGTCAATATTCTGAGAAGATCCTATATTCTTTTCATCAGTGCTAGACTCCTGGAGGGAAACAGCTCTTCCTATACAGCTTCAAATGAGTCTTAAAAATCACCTTCAACTAAATCCATGTTTCAACAAATAAACCACACACTTAGGAGATGTGGCTTTTCTAAGTTACAGTTTAGTTAAGAGTAACCTACTTTTATTCCAATAGCTCCTATTTTAAAGACTTCTATCTTAAGACATCCTATAATACAACTAGAAGAAACTGCACACTATAGAATTTAGAATATATGAGACAAACTTTTGAAAAAAGCAATAATCTACATATCTACTTATAGCATTCATCTCATACCCATATCTAAAAATGTTATCTGCTTAGATACCACACAAAAAGAAGAAAAGAGAGAGATGGCCCTAATTAACTCACTGATAATCAAAAGTTAATCTTAAAGGTTATCAAAATTAAGCATTACATTAAGTGTTAGGTGATAAAGAAGGTACATGATACAGAGAACAGTATAGGCTATGAGTCAGAAAACCTGAGTTTTAATCTTAGCTTTGCCAGTTAGTACGTAAACTTTAGCAAATCCATTTGTTCTAGCTTCCTCATCAATAAAATAGTGTTAGTAACTGTCCTCACTCTGTCTGCCTTGAGGACCAACTGAGTAAATGGATATAAAATAATAGTGTAAACTGTGAAAGTTAAAAGTGGGTATATCGATTAATAGAGTCAATGACTCTTTTTTAAGTACCTACTTTGAGCCAGTCACTATTTAGGTAGATGGAAAAGATATAGCAATAGATAAAACAAAAACTCCTTGCACCATGGAGCTTAATTTCCAATGAAGGGAAACAGATTAAAATATATAGATATATGGTGCAAAAAAATGTACACACACTTTAAGAAAGGAAAAAACTGTATTAAAATTATAACACTCAATATACTGACAATAAAAGATGAATATAAGGTATGTTTCAGCACCTCTTTTTTTTTATATTTTCAATTTGCTCTTTATTAGCTTTGTAGAAATCTACTATAGTTAAACTTGGTTCTGTAAAAACATAGGAATTTACGTTTTTTATTTTTTTAATTAATTATTTTTATTAAAAAATAATTAGCACCCCTTGTAATTGCAGAAGTCAAACATGACTTGAGTATTACAATTTTAATATAGTTTTTTCCTTTCTTAAAATGGGTATACATTTTTTAGCCACCTCTATATATATAAGTCATAAAATATATTATTAGAGCATGACAGAGGCAATGGAGAAAAAAAAAGTGAGAAAGGGTAAAAGGAATGCTGGGGGTTTGGGGTAAGACTGAAACTTCAAACAACATGGTTAGGAAAGGCCTCATGAAGAAAGTAATATTTGAGCAAAGATTTAAAGTAGGCAAATATTAGGGAAAGAACAGAGGCAACAGCACTTGTTATATCCTGACCACTCAATGATTTAAATACACAGCTAAGGAAGGCAGCATCCTTTCAGGGGTGTCCAACTTGTGGCCAGTAGGCCTCTTGCAGATTATGTGAGGATTGTTTTGCTTATCCGTGGTGTCAGATATGGTGAAAAGTTGCACAGGCCTTTATTTTTGCTCATCAGCTTACATTAATGTTTGTGTATTTATTATTTGGCCCAAGATAACTCTTATTCTTCCAATGTCCAGCAGAAAAGAAAAAAGGTTGGACACTCCTGCAAGTTAGCCTTTCTACAGGCTATATTCATTTAATTCAGGTAAACATTAGAAGAAGCAACAATAGTGTCCAAGCATTTCCAACATACTTTACTTATATGTAGTCTTACAAACCACTAAATGAATAGCAGAGTCATCCCAGGAAAATGGCATGAAACAGAAAAGATTTTTTCAAAAAACAAACTGGTCTTACTTCCTTTCCCTCATGTTGTAGTTTTCTATTAGTATCCGTCACTTGATTCTGTGGAGAGAAGACAATTTAAACTCATAAAAAACAAACAGACAATAGTTTAAGAAGATCAAAATTTTATATGGAAAGATGGGGGATAGATAGTTTATTTTCAGTATTCTCCCACCTGTTGATATAGTGGCATTCTCTTAGGTTTAAATTATGTCGTCTTTTCTACTAGACATTTATTGACCTTCTGAACAATGAAAAGAAAAATTTACTGACAGGTATGTTGAATTTAGAACATTTCAAACTAAGATATCATAATGACTAAAGATTATACTTTTAACTTTGGAGAAAAAGAGTGAAAATAAGAGTCTTACCATCTCCACAATATCTAGGAAGAACAAATTTGGTTATAGGTATTACTCATTTCATCAATGTATTCATAGGAAAGTCAGGTATACACTGAAATTTTTAACTTAAGTCAAGGTTCCCCTATTTGTTTATTAATTTGTTTCTTAATTTTAGAAAATGTTTTAATTGAATTATTTTTGGATCACAATTCTTAACGGCTTCTAAGCTTCTCATATTCCCATTTTTACAGCATAATCTCCCTATTAGATAGTTAAAAATATGAGAATAAGCCTCTAAGCGATCTAGTTCATAATTTAAAGAAACTGGTATCCACCTTTTTTTTTAGCATCCACTTTTAACATCTCAGTTGATGAAAAAAAAGAAAAAGTCTATAGAATAGTAATTTCCTTATCTCCTTATCAAAACATGAGCAATATTAACTTCAAAAATGTTTTTTCTGGCTCGGCACCTGTGGCTCAAGTGGCTAAGGCGCCAGCCACATACACCTAAGGTGGTGGGTTCGAATCCAGCCCCGGCCCGCCAAACAACAATGACAGCTGCAACCCAAAAAATGGCCAGGCGCTGTGGTGGGCGCCTGTGGTCCCAGCTACTTGGGAGGCTGAGGCAGGAGACTCTCTTGAGCCCAGGAGTTGGAGGTTGCTGTGAGCTGTGATGCAACGGCACTCTACCCAGGGGGACAGCTTGAGGCTCTGTCTCAAAAAAAAAAAAAAATGATTTTTCATCACAGCTTTCTAGCCCTCCACCAACAACTGACAATCTGCATTAGACTTTTAATGCATTCCCCCAACCTAACATTTTCCATTATATATGTATACATACACAATATGAACTGTATGCCACTGTAAATGTCCACAAGAGGAATATCATACAGAACATTTTCCAAACTTAACACTCTTTTTATTGAAGATTTTCTCAAGGAAATAGTTTTTCAAACAACATGCTTTTGAAATCACTGCCTTAAAATATACACTTTACCTGGACTACCATCTTCAGAGCAGATTACCACACATGCCACCTTTCAAAAACAAAATGAAATCCAACCTCCTCCTAAAAGCCTTTGTAAAGTACCAGAAAGAGAAGCAACAAACCCTCAAATTCCCTCTTTATTATTTACTTAACAGCATCACATGTGAAATATTTTGTAGATGCAACTGAGCTCAATATAAATTGAGTACGCATAGCTGCTCAAAATGCAGATCTAAGATGATGTTAATAAAAGTATTGTTTAAAACAGGTGGGCAATGTTTCTATAAAGGGTCAGACAGTAAATATTTTAGACTTTGCAAGCCATATAGTCTCTGTTGTAAGTACCAAATCCTACCATTGTAATAGGAATGCAGCAATAAACAAAATGTAAATGAATGAGCATCGCTGTGTTCCAATAAAACTTTATTTACAAAAACAGTAGGCAGGCTAGATTTGGCCTACATGACAAAAGCACGATGAACCCGAGTCTAGAAAAACTGAGATAGTGAGGTTATAAGCTCACACTATGAGAATTACCCTTACATGTCTTTTTTTTTTTTTTGAGACAGAGTCTCACTTTGTCACCCTGGGTAGAATGCCATGGTGTCATGCTCGTAGCAACTTCAAACTCTTGGGCTCAAGTGATTCTCTTGCCTCAGCCTCACAGGTAGCTGAGACTATTGGCTCAGGCTTGTCTCGAACCTATAAGCTCAGGCAATCCACCTGCCTGACCTCTGAGAGTGCTAGGATACAGGCCTGAGCCACCGCACCCAGCCAACATGTCATGTTTTTAAGAAAGGCATTGATTAAGCTGATTCACATTGATAATCCTATGTTAATAGAATTGGAGAAGGAGTCAAAGTCATACCACATGAAAAACAGATGAAGGAATTTTTAGCCAACAGAAGGGGAAAATAATCATTTTTGAAGCTCTATACACTATACCTGGAGCCCATACACAAGATACCATACCTGCACAACGGCTGCCCTTCAAATACCTCAAGAGCTGCTAGAAGAAAGGGAGCTCCCTAAAAATTACTTATTATTCAAGCCAATAAACAGATGTTACTAGAATACTAGATTCACTTCAATATAAGAAATAAGTTTCAAGCAATGTGAATAAAAACAGTATGGGCTACCTCAAGTGACAGTCTTCATCCCCCTCACAGTAGTTATTCCATAATAAGTAAGATGTTTTTAATCCTAAACTGGAGATCTCTGAGAATTCAACCTTCTGTAAATGCTCCTAAATTCAACATTATTGTCTCTACTACTAGAGTAGCCTTTTTACCTTTTAAAGTCATCAATTCTCACATTTTTTTTACCTCAAATTCATCGTAAAAAAGTACATTTTCCCTTGCAACTCAGTACACAAGTGTAGGGAACACACATGAACATACATACACATAAACAGAGAGAAAGATTTTCAAGGTACAATGTTTACCCTTACTATTTGTCATCTATCTTTATTTTCTATTCAATTCCATTCTATTTAAGATTTTCTTAAAACTATTTATTAAGGGCCACTGAGTTGTTTTCATGCAAATCACGGTTCTAAAACATATCTATAAGTAACTAACCAATACTTCTAAAAAGAAAGTAATAAAAACTAGTTTAATAGTATTCAATAACTGTTTCAATGCATAACAATAAAAAAACTAAATCAAATATCTAAGATGCTACTTCTTTTAATTCAAAGAACATAAAGAGGTGTCTATACATCCATAAATATATGTGTATATGCGTGTGTGTATACACACTGTGAATCATAAAAAAATGGGTATCCTATAGTTTCTTTTCAATATCATGTAAAAATAGTACTGACAGTAGTTAACACCTAGCTTTTTCCATTTTTTAAACTCTTTTCTAGAGTTCAGAAAACTACATTTCACAGTTTCTTCACCTAGGTCAAATGGATCCTCTAAGAGAAGCACCTTCCAGATGTACTATTAGATGTTAATCCTTTCAGCCCTCAGAGTAACTGGATAAAGCCTGAAACAGCCAAAAACCTCGAACTGGTAGCCTCCAATTCATACATTCCTTTAGGGGAATCCTAAGGAAGTTGAAAGAATTTGCAACTCAAAACAATTTGAAGGAACAAGAAGGAAGTAAGAGGAATAGAAGATTTATACCAACCAGCAAGTGATGTCAGCAATTGGTGAGCATTATAGGCAATATTTGGCAGTATCCTGCCAAGGAGGTAATCTACCATATGACCTCTTTAATAATTAGAGGCAGACCATACTGCTGCCCATCATCCACTGGGGTTATCCACTAGGGTCCCATGGAGCTGTGGGAGAAGTATGAGAGACAGAAGTCCAAGAAGCATAGAAAAAAACAACCTAAGACGAATATAGGAAGCTGGGATGACTGGGTGAGGACAAATAACATATACAGCTCCTGGCGGGAATCCCCGTATCTTTGTTTTTACACATTTCAGATAATTTTGTCATTTGAGGCTAATCAGCCCCCAAAATTTCAGGATCACAAATATGAACCAATTAATAAAAGAAACACTATTAAAATTCTTTAATCTCAAGTAATATACACTTTTGAATAAATACAGAAATAATTCAATCTGTAGAAACAGCCTAAATGCCCCTCAACCCAGGAACGGATTGGCAAGCTGTGGTATATGGATATCATGAATACCACTCTGCCATTATAAAAAAAATGGAGATTTTGCGGCATTTGTATTAACCTGGATAGAGGTGGAACATATTATTCTTCAGTGAAACATCACAGGAATAGAGAAGCATGAATTCTCTGTAGTCAACTTTGATATGAGGACAATTAATGACATGGTAGGTTAGGTGGGGGAAAGAATAAGGGAGAGGGTGAGGGAAAGGAAAAGAAAAAAAAAGAAAAGAAAAGAAAAGAAAAGAGTGACTAATTTTCACATAAATTGGATTTCATTTTGACCAAACTACATTATTTGAACAATAAATTTTAAATTCAACTTGTTAATATGTTGTTTTAGGATATTGCATCCTCATTTATAAGTGAAATATGTTTCTAATTTCCCTTTATAAAATACATTTTTTCCAATTTTAATATCAAGTATATCCAGATGAAGTAGAATGATCTTAAACATTTCTTCTTTTTCTATTGTCTATAAGATTTGGCATCATCTGTCTTTTGAAATTATCTTCTATTTTTATTTATAAATATTAGTTGTCTATTTTTTGAGACTTTGAAAAAAAAAGTTAATTGATGACTTCATACTGAACCTCAGAGTCTAAGCATTCTATGATAGACATACTTTTATCTGACAATGTGAATGTTATTTTTTTTTGCATTATTATTATTGTTCAATATTTCGTTGCAGCAATTATCTGATTTCTTTTCCGAAATGTATTTATCTTCGTTCATTCTTTATGAGGTTTTTGCTTCTGGTCCATATCTTAGACACTGTTATTGTTATTAAATTTTAAGCCTCTTTAATTTTGTGATAGTAAAAAGTGGAAACCAAATAAACACATGTATATGTATAGAGAAAATTTTAAAAAACAGAAATAATTCAATCTTTTATCACCTACATCAGAGAAAAGGTTTTCTTGAATAGAGCCTATGAAGAATTCAAAAAGGTCACCATTTCAAAAGTCTGGATTACATTTGCATGTAGTCATTTTAAGCAGAAAATTGATTTAAAAGTTATTTCATGGTAGTGTTTAAGTTTCCCATTTTAAAATGATGAAAAAAAGGTTTTAGAAAATTATTTATATTCTTTATATATCCTACTACTCCATATTTTATTTTTCTTAAAACTAAACTAGAAACCTGAGAGTCATAAGCTCATAAGCATCTCTGCAATCTGCCCCTTTCCCACTATCTCCTTACTTTTAGGTCTGTGTTATTTTTTTTTTTTTAACCTGGATTTCAACTTATTATTTTCCCATATTGAATGAAAATTTTGCTTAAGTGTGTATACTCTAACATTGAATTTTCTAAGTGACAGTCAAAATTTTCACTTGAATATATGGCACATCTCCTGGGTGAAGGACACAAATACAACTTGGACTCTACCTAACAAACACAAACAATGTAACCCAATCATCTGTACCCTTATTCTAATCTGAAATTTAAAAATTTTTATTTCACTTGAAACTTCAGGAAACTTAGAATACATGGAAAAGACACTAATAAAAACATTAAAATTATCTAATATCCATCCAGGGATTATTGAAATATTTTGGTATACAGTCTTTCAATATTTTTAATGTCTAGTTATTTACATATAGAGTACATACAGATTTAGTTTATAAAACTAGGATCATATTGTTCATACTTTTTAATCGGCTTCACACATTAAGCAAACATTACTAATACTTTCCTATGTCAAATATCCTCTACTGAATTTTATATAATAGTTTATTATTCTTTTAAATAGATGTACCATAATTTCTTTCAATAATCTTCTATTAAATAATTTTTAAGAACATTTTAAAGGTTCGCTTATTAAAAATACCACATGGGCTGGAAGCAGTGGCTCACAGCTGTAATCCTAGTACCCTGGAAGGCCAAGGCAGGTGGATTGCCTGAGCTCAGCACTTGGGAGACCAGCCTGAGCAAGAGTGAGACCCCGGTCTCTAAAAAATAGCTGGGCATTGTGGCAGGTGCCTATAGTACTGGGGAAACTGAGGCAAAAGGATTGCTTTTGTCCATGAGTTTGAGGTAGCTGTGAGCTATGATGACATAACATTCTACCCAGGGCAACAAAATGAGACTGTCTCAAAAAGAAAAAAAAAAAAAAGCACTATAAAAAATACCACATGAACATCCTTATACGTATACCTACAGCCTTAGAATAAATCCTAAAACTAAGTGGTGTTTTAAGCATTAGCATCTATTGTTCAAAATTTGCACTCCTTTAATTATTTCTAAATGGTAGAGCTCCCTTGTACTTCTTCTTGTATAAATATAGGCGGAAGGCCTATAAGTAAATCTTTAAACAGTTCCATTTTGCGAAAGTAAGTTTAAAGTCTTTTGTGAGTTAGAATGTAGAAAGACCTGGATAGAACTTCCTATGTGACTCAGGACCTTATCATGTAGAAATGATTCAGGGCCGAGCCTCAGCGGGGCTGGCCTGTAAGCAGGTACTCGAGAACTTCCAGACTGCTCCCCAGGATGGATAACTGCCTCCAGATAGTCTGTTGAAGGTCAAGCATTCAATCAGCTTATTCTCCCAGAAACTTGTTTTATGGTCTTGTTTTCATTATAGGGTTTAAGAATAGTTATAGACAAAGTTAGTGGAATGTTTATCGCTAAACAAGACTCTTTGGCACCAGCCGTGCTGGGCTTGTGTCAGGAGTTTTGAGTTGTTTATTGATTAATTGTGTATACGTGCAGTAAGGTCTATATAAGCTTTGGTAAAATAAAGAACTCTGCTGGAATTCCAGAGAGAGCTCCAGTCCCTTATTCTCCAACATTTCTCTGCAGGTCTTATCTCTGCTGCGCCACATCACACACCCCTCCACACAACATTCATGCAACATATAAATAATATGTATTTCTCAGTTTTCTATTAGAATGTACATATATTTCCTATTTGTAAAGAATCTTCATATATTAAGACTGCCAACCATTTACCATAGGTATTTGTAAAGATTTCTGATTACTTACCTATGCATTTTTATTTTGTATATAGAGTAGGTTACTTTATTTTAATGTTATCAAATCTATCAATTTTTTCTTCATGAATTTTATTTAGAAACATACATTCCCTATTCCCAAATCATATACATATTCATTTATATTTTCTATTACTTCCTTTTTTTTCTTTTTGCATTTTACCCTTTAGTTCCTCTGACATTAATTATGGTATAGTGAATGAAGAAGAGGTTAAATCAAAGCAGATATGTATTAAGGAACATTAAAAATCAAACAACTTAGCTCTGAGGTAAAGAAAGCAACTGAGAGAGGTATGAAAGAGATATAATACTGTGTTGGAGATATAATAGTTCTTAAGATGGCTGGATACTGATGTATAGGCCCGTAAATTCTTATTTAAAGCCTTAGGACCCAAAGTGTCTTGGACTTAAGAATGTTGCAAATTTTATAAAGTTAATTAGGTGAATATAATTTATTATAATATCACCCAATGGGGATTATGATAGTGCTACATAATCAAACATATTAATATTTCTGTACGAAAACCTAAAAATTTATGCTAAATGAAATACGTTAAGAAATTTGATAGTTGCAGCTGAGAGGGGTAGCTCACACCTGTAATCCCAGAACTTTGAGAGGCTAAGGCAGCAGTTGCTTCAGACCAGGAATTTGAGATCAGCCTAGGCAACATAAGCAAGATCCCACTTATAGAAAAAATTTAAAACTTAGCTAGGCACAGTGGCATATCTCTGCACCTGTAGTCCCAGCTACTCGGGAGGATCACTTGAGCCCAGGAGTACAAGGTTACAGTAAACTATAATTATGCCACTGCACTCAAGATCCTGTCTCTAAGTAAGAAAATTTTTAATTTTAAAAAAATCATTAATTAATTTAAATAAAAAAAGAAATTTCATGTCACATTTTGCGGTCAAATGAGTTTTTAAATTACTATAGCTTTAGAATATAATATCTGATAGCCCACTTCGCCCCTCAGTTAAAAACATTTCTTTGCTTTTCTTACCAATGTATTCTTTTAGATGAATTTTACACTCATTGGCAAATTAACCCCATGCCCAAAAACCAAAAGCAAAATCACTGCAAAGAAGAAAATAAAACTGTTATTACTTATAGATCACATGAATATTTACACAGAAAACTCAAAAATAAATCCCATATAAATTTTCAGAAATAACAGAAGAGTTTAGTGCAGTAGTTAGATTTATGATAAATAAGCAAAATGAATTACCTAAAGTAAGTGAATTTGCTATGCCCAGGACCAGACCAATACGACTAGCCTCCTTCTCATCAAGAAAGAAGCTTCATGCTTTGGTAGAAGACCCTCCACAACCACCACTGGTATTTTTTCCTTTGTCCTAGAGACCATGCTACAAAGAATTCTATCACAGTGCTTTGAAATTTTGCCATCATCCAGAGATATCTTTAATCTATAAGGAAGCTGAGGACATGAATAGTCAAACTGTTTTGTATAAAAGAAACAGTTACTGATTACTGGTCCTGATTCACATTCATGTAGGTATTCCAATTAAACTCTTAACTGTTTAGCTAAAGAGCCATGATCTTAATTATCCAGGTCTCAGTGTAAATTCCTTTCTTACTACACAAAAATCTCTACTATAAATAAACTTGTGATCTGCATTGTAGTCACCTATTCTTTTAATACTAATCAAAATCCCACAAATAAGTATCTCTTAGTTTCCTTACTTTGAGTTTCTGGGCTTCTCCTCTTACTTTCAGCAATTCAGTTATAGAATCCACAAAGCCCTGGTAATGAAAGTTGCACATTTTCTCAATTTCTCGGTCATGATTGCGGATGCGAGTTTCAAGCTTCTCCATGAATCGTCCATGTTCCTCACCATCATAGACAGACCTTTAAAAAAAAAAAAATGGCATGGCATGAAGATTATACCACAGTTACTTCTAAGAAAGAGAAAGAATAATTATACAAGCCAAAAGCAAATCTTTGGAAATTTGATATTGAAGGTACATAACCCACAAAGTAAAAAAAACTACATATTAACATTGCATTAATGCATTGTAAAATAAGCGTTTTTTTTAGGAAAAATCAAAATTTTGCTTTCTTGCTCATTCAAAAATATTTGAGTGATTGACAGCATTCATCGCAGAATTCTCATCATAACATGAAAAGACTAAATTACAACTCCTTTGTATCTTTGTTTCTCTATTAAACTAGTCTTAAATTTTTCTCAAATTTGGTTAAACATAACTATCTAATTACTCAAGAAGCTGACACCACTAGAGAAAAATCACATAGCTGTGCTGGCTAGACTCACAAATGTAAATTGGGCACTCAATACCACTATATAATCCTACTACAACTATCCCCCTATTCTGCCTCCCCCCCAAAAAAGTCACGCTGTTTTCTCAAAATAGTTATATGTGGGAACCTTACTTTCTCCTCTTCTTAAATGTTCCCCTCACTCTTAGCTGCTGATCTGACTACACAGCTTACAAAAAAAACAGATACAAAGAAGTAGCTCCCCTCCCCCACTAAAATCTATCAATCTACTTAGATCTATAACTCCTACTCTGTCCAGCTTCCTGTAACAAGGGAAGAAGTATTCCAAGCTCTTATCTGCAGTCAATCCTTCTTGTTGTCTCAAGAACGTTACTCCTGCCATTATTCCCTTTTCTCTCTCCTCTGGATCATATATTTCTCCTTCTGTACTAGATCATTCACATAGGTATATAAACATGACTTCTAAAAACCCACCCTTAACCACAAATCTCCCTCCAGCTACCATCTTGTTTCTGTTCTCCTTCCCACCAAAACTCTCTTCCGCATCCTTACCTCCTTCCTTCCTTACCTTACTGGAGTAAATATGCATCTTACTCCACCTAATAGCATTTGTTATGGTTTGATAGTTCTCTCTCTTTAAATAATCTCTTCTGTAGACTTCTTTTTTTTTTTTTTGAGACAGAGCCTCAAGCTATCCCCCTGGGTAGAGTGGCATGGCCTCACTGCTCACAGCAATCTCCAACTCCTGGGCTCAAGCGAGTCTCCTGCCTCAGCCTCCCAAGTAGGTGGGACCACAGGCACCCGCCACAACACCTGGCTATTTTTTGGTTGCAGCCACTATTGTTGTTTGGCGGGCCGGGGCTGGATTCGAACCCGCCACTTTAGGTGTATGTGGCTGGCACCTTAGCTACCTGAGCCACAGGCGCCAAGCCTTCTGTAGACTTCTTAATCTCCTTTCTCAGTGCTTCCTCTTCTATCATGTTCTTAAATATTCCTAAAATCCCTCTCTTCTCTATCAACATTCTTTCACCAAACATTACCATATAATCTCTAATCCCAGGACCTTAAAATTCTACCTATATAGTAGTGACTTCCCAATTTATACCTATAATTCAGAGCATTCTTCTGAGCACTAGACTCAAATTTCTATATAGTATTTAACAACTCCAGTTGGATTTTTAAAATTTGACATAGGGGAAAAAAATGTTAACTAGTAACCTATCTCCACTCCCAAACTTATTCCTGCCCAAAACTCCTAACCACCAACCCACCCTATCACAATTAATAGCACCATCCACTTGCCCGAGCCAAAAATCCAGGAATTATTTCTAATCTATCTCTTTCCATCATATGCCCTATCCAGCCCATTAATAAGTCCTGACAACCTCCAAAAAAGTCTTGACAATTAACCATATCCCACAGTTTCCACTGAAACACTAGTCCAAATCTATTCCTATTATCATCACACCACAGTGGCCTCCTAACAGTCTCTATTCTGTACTATCCCCACTCCCTTATCCCCTGTCCCAAAAACAAACACTCTACACACCAATTAAAATGATCTTCTATCTCACCTAATGTGCACATTCTGACGTTGTATAACATACTCCCTGGGCGAGGGGCTCTTCTACAAAAGGAACTTGCCCTGGAATTAAGAACAATGTAATCTGAATATTGTACCCTCATATTAATTTGAATAAAGTTTAAAATAAAATAAAATAAAGTGATCTTCTAAAAGCAATAATTCAGATGTGTTCCCCTGTTTCAACCTCCTCAATGGTTTCCCTTTTCAAAAAGAATAAAAATCTTGAATCTTTACTATGGTCTATAAGACCCTACATAATCTGGCCTCTGATTTACCTTTCTAACCCTATTTCTTGCCTCTCTCTAGTTGCCACCACTCTATTCTCCAGCTATACTGGCTTTTAAAAAAATGTTTAGCCTCTTCTTGGCTCAGGATTTTGCTTTGCTATTCTTATGCTAATAATGCTAATCCCCTCTATCTGAACAATCTCCTCCTCATCATCATCCATAGTTTGTTGTCTATCTTTTCCCACAACCCACCCTAATTAGATTCTGAGCTCAAGGCAAAAACTTTGCCATATTCATCACCATACCCCTACAACAGTGCCAGACAAGTAGAAGGCAGTAAGTACACATCCACTGAGAACAAATGACTAGCAGGATTTCTAAGACCTCTTTGGTCACTAATGTTTGTTCAACAGATACACATTTGCTCATTGACAACATTTTCTGGTTCTATAATCACTTGCAGGTACAAAGATCATACCCTGATCCTGTGGATCAGAAAGCACACTTTCCTCATCAGGTTTTTCCACTACCTAAAACTCAGGGGTAACCAAGGACAAAACATTTATAATCACGTACAACATAACGTTTCCGTCAATAATGGACCACAGGTACAAAAGTGGCCCCATAACACTATAATGAAGCCAAAAAAATTACTATTGTCTAATGAAGTTGCAATGTCATAGCACAACATGTTACCTTTTTTATGTTTAGATACACAAATATGTACCATTGTGTTACAACTGCCTGGAGTATCAGGACAATAACATGCTGTACAGGTTTACAGCCTAGGAGCAATAAGCTATACCATACAGCCTAGAGTGTGTGGTAGGTTTGTAAGTACACATCATAGAGTATTATTACAAACCTACCACACATCTAGGCTATATGGTATTGTTACATAAGCATAACAAAAAAAATTGCCTAACAACACATTTCTCAGAACACATCCTCATGTATGACTGTATATGTTTGGTTTCCAGTAAAGATTATAAACACTTCAGAAAAGGCACAGCAATCTAGATTCATTGTCCTTCCTTTGAAGTAAAGGGAGATTGTCAAATACCTTATAAATAACACCTGCTTTGTTGAGTAAGAAAACTGTAGAATAAACATTTGCCTGATGGAGCTATTTAGAATACAAAAAACAGAATCTATCAGTGACATTTCAACAATCTCAAATAAGCTGAATTTTCCCCCTTTTAATGAATGGAAAAGAAAAGTTTCCTTGTAAAGATACCCATATTCCTTGACCTTTGGAGAATGGAAAGAAATGAAAATTTTGCAATTCAAATGGCATAAGCTGATGTATTATTCAATATTAGACAAACTCTTGGTTTCAACACCAACCCAGTAATATTTCTAAGTTAGGTAACAAGTCTACTTAACTTGGTAGAAGTTAGGGAAAACTTTTTCATTCTTTCCCTCCAAAGATCTACATTAACATCACAAAAGACAAGCAAGGGAAAAGTAAATATCAAAGATAAAAAATTCAGAATGTACATTAATGCCTCCCTAAGCATCCTGAATGTCCTATTGAAAAAAAAAAATGAAAAATCAAACAAAGGAAACATGACTTTAGGTGCCTAACTGTAAGGCCTTGGTCTCAGCACCATAATTAACTAGCTATGAGTCTTTAATCAATTCAGTTAATCTCTCTGACCCTCAGCTTTCCCATTTATAAAGCAGAAAGAATCAATTAGAATTTTCTGAGTACTACCTTAGCTTTTTCGTTTCTACAATTCATCCCCACTTTCAAATTTAGTTCATAGTACAAACATCAGACATTTTCTGAATAATTTAAAGAGGGAATAGTTCTAAACAAGTTAATGAAGTTTCTACCACCTTATCATTATCCCCCACTGATTTCTCCTATCTTAAGACTTTTGTCATTCTAATACTCTCTTTTAATTATACTGTTGAATAACTTGAAAGCTTTACAGTGGATTTCCAAAGTATTCTGAGAAGTTTAACAGCTAGAATAAAATGTAAAATGCACATATTTAAAACAGGAAATGTGGATTATATTTAGTAGTTCCGTGGGTATGCTTCAAATACTTCATGATTCCCAAATTTGGGATTGGGGTATATATATATACACACATATATGCATTTTTAAAAGAAGTTTCCCAGAGTTTCCAGCTGGTTATTTAACCTCTTTAACCAAAGAGGTTAAAAACTGTTGACTTAAATATTTTGTCTCAAATTGTCTAGTAAAAAGAAAAGACAATTTTGGACAAATCACTACATGACAGTTTACCTTGAACCAAAATTTCAAGTATATCTCAGTATAAATCTTTGCAAACTAATAATCTACCACATATAAAAAAACAAAAATAAACAAGGTTTAAGCTGTGGAAAGGTCAGAAATTACTGAAGCTGACCTAATACTGATAGTCAACACTGTAATTGAACAGTATAGCTTTTTTTCCTTTTAACGAGTAATTTAAAGTGGAGAAAGACTGCCATCTAGTGATGGTCCATTTCTAAAATGCCTTAACAAGATGTGGCCAAGTAAACACGACTGCTTAAAAATCTAAAACCTAAATTCTATAATACCTGTTGGCCAAAGACTTATAACTAATTAGTAAATGATATGTAAAGTACTCTAATGTTTAGATTTCCATTTCTATTAGAACGCAAGAATTTTTAAAATGAAACTTTATTGAACAAATAAAAAAGAAAGAAAGAAAGCAGGACTTTGAGAACAAACTCAAAGGCTTTTGATATGTCCAGGTGTGTCACAGTTAAACAATACTAACAAGCAATTACTTTGCTTGTTACTGCTACAGCTAACACTG